CTCTGGGTCGATCCATTCATTGGCTCAGAGGGTTGAGTTTTGGGTGGTAAACACAAACTGGCTTTGGAAATATTGGCACTGTTAATAATAGGAAGACAATGTTGTCACACATGCACAAAAGCCTGCTTGCACACTCATCCTAATTGGCAAATGAATTGGCAAATTGGTCCACTAGCATCTTAAATCTTCATTTCCCTGAAGATTTGCAGCAGTGACAACAGAAAAAGCCATGAATTAGTGTAGCATTTGTCTTTAAGGCAGCCACCAGGCTTTTAAATTGGTTTGTGTGGAGGTAAAGAGGGGCATCTCATTATCTATAAAGTCCCACCACTCTCTCTCTCTCTCTCTCTCTAGTCTCCTTCACTCCCTCCCTGTGTCTGCAGATTAAGAGTGTGTTGGTGTGTTGGTACAGGGATCACAGGAATTTAACGCTCTTTCTCCTCACAGCATTTCAACTCAGCCAATTAGGTATGCCGTGTCATGAAATGAATCGCGCTGAAGTCGATAAGGACCACTCATAATTGAGCTGGCATGCATATTAATTAAACAACAAGCGGTGTTTAACTGGGCCAGGGCACCCAGGGTCCTAGTGCTTGACTTGTAGTGGTCTCAGAGTCATGATCAGAACAAATCATTTACCTGCTTTAATCGGTATGTTATTATCTCTGAGTGGTTTAATCAATTCATGTGAATATCTAATTAAGATTAAGAATAGCACTCTCACTTAAACATAGAATATAAGTTTATTTTTATTGGTAACTTCTACCCGTTGAATATCAGTGGACAACTATTTTGGTTTGATCTAGACCCAGTTTGTTCCTCACATGTATTATCATTGCATTTGAGTCTTTTCTGAAAGATGAATCCCTGGTGGTCTGCCGAACACGTTTTGAAAGTATTTCCATAATCCTCAAAGACTCTTTGAACCATCTGGGCAAAATAAGGATGATAAAATGAATTTAATCCAAGTTGCTACTTTATTTCCTAGTCAAAATATGGTAGCTGGAAAGAACATAATATATGTCCAGTGTCAATTTGTAAGACTAAAACAAAAAGTTTTATTGCAAGTTATATGTATTCTTCTGTCTTCTTTCCATTATTTTCATACACACTACATCTGTATCTGTATCCGTATTTTTCCTCGTACATAACAAATAGGTAAGGACACATATCAACACAGAGGAGGAATTGCGTTGTTTTTAGACAGAATGCAAAGTGAATTTGAGAGGCGTCATGACGAAATGAATGAAAGACAACATTAGACACAAATTTGAGTTGAAAACATGACTGTGAATAACCATGTCTACTATAAATAACCTTTATACATAACTAATTTATAATAAGAAATACATTTTGAAGGAAACGTAATGTAACGTAATGTAATTGTAGTGTATTCAATCATTTCAATCCACTGACAGAGGAATGAACAATTGTGATTTGGAGCACAGCCTAATAAAAATAATAGTCTAATTTTACACATGATGATGAAGATACAGAAAAATAGAAATGCATGGCAAAAATAGACCCTCCAAAAAAAATCATGTTTTAAGGGAAGTTCATGTCTTATTAAAAGGAGCCAAGCTCCCCTGGTCCCCCTGTAGTTCGCAGTTCGCACACTGGTACAATCTATGTTATTGTGAAGTGTACCAAACATTTTTTTTTATCAAGACAGACAAAAGAGTCTTTAAAGTGGCTATAATTTCACAATGTGAAAGGGTTTGTCACAGTGAATATAGAGAGAATTATCACCTGAATCTACAGCTCCTCTTGACTTTACAGAGATTTATAGTTTCAGTTTATTATTTAGCTGTCTGGCTACCACTCTTGGTTTTGGTTCACCCTCATCACTCTCACAGCATTCACTTTCACAGATTTTTTTCAGTTGAACAGGGATTTATTTTTCAGGGGAAAATCATTCTTAGTTGTAATGTTACATGTTACATGCACAAAGTGAGGTTTAATTAAATCTTTAGTTATTAAAGTCCACAGTTATTATGGCATTGTGTACTATTGACGTCAAAGCTTTACTTGAATTTAACAGATGTTTTTTGACCTCACAGTAGATGTAAAAATCAATAATTGATTGAATGTGTGTTTTTATACTCAGTATGGGGATGGATTTGTATTTTTTCCTCCTCATTTCTGTTTGCTCGGTCTGTGTCTGGACTCGCCCGGCTCTAAGGAGGTTGCTTTAGCAAGAAAAAAATGGTAGAGGATGGATAGACACACTGAAACATACACGTTAAAGTGCACTTTGCTTCTACTAAACTGAATACACTCTACAGTAAGGCTCTATTTAAAGTGTGTGTATGTGTCTGTGTGTTCGAGCGAGGCAGAGAGAAGAGCACTTTGCTGTCATTAGGTGAGATCATGTAGAGACGGGATGACCGGGTTAATTTTTAATGCCCAGCCTTTGGATATATAAAATATGTATTCAGCCCTTGTTGGACATGAGTCTTTATATCTCTCTTCCTCTCTGCCTCACTCGTCTTACTCAAGCCTCCAATTGCTCTTTTATTCACTCTTTTTTTAGCTCTGTCTTTGCCTATACTCTCTCTTTCAGCCTCTTGGCGTGTTTGGCCCGCGTTCACTCTCTGTCTGGTCTGTTTCTCTGTCTTCTCTCTTGGCGTCAGTCCGCCTCTCTTCTCCCCACGAGTGTCTGCCCTGAGAACCAGACAGAGGAAAGGTGCCGTTTGATGATCCGGCTAGAAACGGCTTGCGGCGTGGCTGTTTTTCATTCTTTTTCTTCTATTTTTCTCCTCCCCCGGTGTGTATCTGTCTGTTTGCTCTTCAGATTTAACAGCTTAGTAACACTATTGTCACAGATCAGCCGAAATCCTAAAGAGATGAAGACAGACAAACACACACACATGGTGATGTTTTATCTAACACACACTCACCACAGGCAGGCCACCATGGAGACGATCACAGCTACATCCACAGGGACACACACTTGATTTACAGCTTACACTTGTGTCACAGTGACATAACAGTAAACCTGAGCCAGCCAATAGGGACCTGCTGTCTCAGAGATCACTGACAGCCGTGGTGATGTAACAAAGGTCACAGGGGACATCCACCTTACTGTGCTGTTTTTGAATACAGTGTTGCTAAAGTTACTTGAAATGTGTAATTAATTACTCATTTGCACATTGATAATTAAAATTAATTACTCAACAGCAAAAGTAAGTTAGTTTTGTTACTCAGCCCAGCTCCTCAAAAGGTGCCTTTAAAGGACCAGTGTGTAAGATTTAGTGGCATCTAGCGGTGAAGTTTTCCGTTTGCAACTAACTGAGCGCAGCGTCTGTATTTGACCTGAACAGTGAACAGTCTGTGAAATGTGTAGGAGAAACTACGATGGCTGCGAAACTCTTTAGTTTATCCATTTTGGGCTACTGTAGAAACATGGTGGTTCAACATGGTGGACTACAAGGTCTGTAGATTAAAACGGTTTATTCTAAGGTAACAAAAACATAATTCCTATTTTCAGGTGATTGTACACTAATAAAAACATACTTATGACCATTATATTCCATTTCTGCCAATAGATCCTCCTAAATGTTACACACTGGACCTTTAAACAACTCCATATCCTCTATACACCTCCCAAATGTTGTT